AGCTCAAGTTCTTGCTGGTATTGGTACCAATGGTGTTAACTTGTCAAGTCTCTTTGGTAAACGTGATTTGAGTGAACTTGCTAGTCGACAAGCAGAAATTCGTGGTTTCTTTGATACATTGGGCAATGGTCTTCTTAATGGTTTACAAAGTGTTTGGACAAATATAGTTCAAGGTCCAATTGAACAAGCTCTTCAAAGTTAGTTTTATCTTATAATTAATATAATAAATAAATTGATTTATAAAAAAACAAAAGGTGGTGCTCTTATGGCCGCTCAAGTACTCGCTGGTATTGGTACAAATGGTATTGATCTTGGTAAACGTCAATTGAATAATGATGCTCGTGGACCAATCATCGATGATCTTGTTGGACATGCTACTGGTCTCTATACAAATCAAGTAAAACCTGTTGTTGAAAATGCACTTAATAGTATGTTTTATATATTGATTATTATTGAATGTTTTCTATTTTATTTCTAATTTAGGTGCTATTCTTCATCTTGCTGGTATTTTAGCCAACTTCTCCCAAAGCGGAATTGGTCGACGTTAAAAATCGTTTTTTTTTTCTCGATATTTACTGAAAGAATCATGAATTCGATTTTTTCAATAAAATTCTTCTATCGTTAAGGCAATTCGACCTTCTTTGTTTTTATTTTTCTTTGAATAATCTTTTGAAAATATAAATTAATAATAATTAAATCAATAATATATATCGAAAATGATTATTTATTTTGTAATTAATCAAATATTTCGAATATTCTATTAAATTATAATTATTAATCATTATTTTTATTTTATGTCTAAAAAATAAATTCTTCTAAGAAAATAGAGAGAGAAAAACAATTTTCAATTTTTATCATAAATTATTTTAAACAAGTCTATTAGAAGAAAAACAAAAAAAAAAAGTAATTAAATATATTGGTGGATATTTAACATAATATTATTCAGGTTGTTCACTATGTTACGTCTTAGGAGTGATGTGAAATATTCCTATAGATATATATCTATTAATAATGACTTGACTATTAAAAAAAAAACAAGAAAAAAAATCTTCTATTTTCAAGGTCATTTTTATATTTTATTTTAAATATAACGATGGCAATTTTCTCTCGTAGACGATTATTGCCAATCTAAAAGCGAACAACAACAAAAAAAACAACACATGTTAATCGGAAATAAAACATAAAAATGACCTTGAAAAAAAAACCAAGAGAAAAAAAAGCATATTTTATTTTATTTTATTATTTAATAGTTTATTAGTTGATCATATATATATTCACATATCATTTACTATTATATAAAATTAAAATAATAATCATTTATTATATAACATCATCATATTTATTTATATTTATCTTTAAAAGAGAAAACATCTACTCTATATACACATATAAGACATTAGGTCAATGATTACGCCGCCTGGAATCATGAATATCCGGTGAGAACCCACAGAGAAGATGCCGTTTCCGACCGGAAAACTCCGGAAAATGGTAGGAACTAGGAAACACTAATCCAGTGCTCGAATCTGGTTACTGACTGATCGTTTAAGATCGAAAAAAATCATTTTTATTATTTAAAAATGAAATATAGTTTATCTTATCATTTCTAACATATGTTAAACATGTTTATCAATGATACATTTTATCATCATGCATTATCATATATGTTTAAATAGGAAATTGATTTCATATTCGAAGACGCATTTGACAATGACAACGAAATTATAATGATAAATTTTCCATTTTCCAATAAAAATCATTCAGATTTTCTTTTATATATTTATCTCAAAATGATATTGATAAAGAGATTTTCTTTTTATTCCAACTTATTTCATCAATAATAATCTATAACTTATATTAGACAATATAGAATATATTAGATTTCTATCAATTCAATTCTTTATTTACAAATTTAATATTAAAATTCATTAATAAACAAGAAATTTTCAATATTTGAATTAAAACGATAATATCTACTCTTCAAACCACTTATATATATTAGAAAAATGACAGATCAGAGTAAATACTAATTCAAATTCGATTTATTCAACATCATTTATTTATTCTATAGTGTCAAAATAAAACATTTGTAGTTTGTCTAGAATACAAAATTCTATATATATATATATAATATTATATTATAATTAAGACGATATAAAACTATAAAAAAGAAAGATGACCCAGATAATTTGATTTATATATTAAATCTGATCATTAATAAATATAAATAATATCTTTAATTTCTATGAAATACGATTATTAATGCAACTAAAAAGAATATATTTTTCTCATTTGAGTTTGATATATTCTGTTGAGTTGGTCTAAGATGATAATCTAAAAAAAAGGCGTATAAGAAAAAAAGAAAATTTCTAGTTGTACGAGTGAAACTAGTTTATATTTGAAATGATGCTAATTACTAACTAATTATCAATTCTATTATAATATGAATGCATGCCTAGATTAATGTGATCAACCGATCGATAAATTATTCACTAGAGAATAGAAACACGATTCTATCATCAATCTTTTTAAATATATATATGTATCATTAATTGTATGAAATGGTTGATTCAAATTTGTTTTGTAATCTATCTTTTTTGAAAAATGAATAAGATTATTTTGATTTTGTTTTTTTCTTTCGAATATTTATATTTGATTATTTATCTCTTTTATTGATAAGTTGAATTGACATCCTTTTTAGTAATAAATGAGGAATAAAAGGAATGAACAAAAGAAATAAAGAATATACACCGAGTATTGCCAGTATTTAATGTTGGAAAAAAAAAAAGAATTGATTTTTAATTTGTTGTTACTTTTTGTTTTATTTAAAATTCTTTCTTAAAATATTTCTATTTGGGTTCATTTTCGTCTACCCATGAGTAACATACGACTGCGTACACAATCAGCATACTCATGACCACGACCACTAGCTGGCATTCTATTACATGGTTTTAATATTTGTTCAAAATCGGCTGCTTTTTTTAATACACCATGATCATGATAAAGTAAGGAACGGAATGGTTGATGACGTTGATTATTTGACTTAACGAATCGATCAAGATCATTGTCAATGTCATCTATGAGAGTATCGTCAAATTCTTCTCTTGATCTTGATAATACCAATAATGGAATAGCAAAAACAATGCATATGCAATATAATGTTGATAATTGTATATTCATTTTTAGTAGTAACGGTTTTTAGAATAATTATCTAAAATAATTAAATTAATATTTATTAATTAACTATATCTATATATTCATCATTCATTACTTCAATCGGTCAATCATTTACTTTTTTTAATTCTACATAATAGAATATTTATTTATTTCCTTATCATTTATTCAGTTAGGAATAGGAAGAAAACTGAATGTGCTATGAAGAGAGATTTATACATAACAATATATTCTAACAATTTCATCATTGTTAAAATGCTCAATAAGGAATGAAAAAGAGATTTACCGAAGTGAACTATACTAACTTCTAACGACTTTACTTGTTTTCTGTCGATATCGATAAAGGTTAATGACATATACAGAATAATTAGGACATCATTTCACGTCAACCAAATGAAGTTGATGATAAAAATATAATAATGACGAAATATAGCATAGAAAAAAAAGAAGAATAATGATTAATTCTCAATAGAACAATTTGTCAATACGACGAGAAAAAAAACGGTAAAATGATCATTAGTCGAGGAAAATTTCTCTATCGTAAAACAAGCACATCGAAAGAAACGAGAAAAAATCGTCTTCTTTATGATTTTATTTTCTAAATTAACTTCCTATCTGCCTTTATTTTAAAATAGAAATGTGATAAATGAATCTATTGGAAGAGTCTTTTAATATAGGATATATAGAATCCTATCGTTTATGAAGCTAATCATGGTTGATAGCAAACGGCGAATCTTCTAACAAGGACATGCTGAGGTTCATAGAATCTGACGATTCATCCTGAGGCATTTTATAGGAAAATGACTGTCATCAATCATTTATGTTGACTTAAGGATCTTACATTTTTTCATAGTTACCAAAAAAAAAAAAGAGAAAAAAACTAGACATGCTATTCGTTGAATATTGTGGGCAATGTCTTTATTTGACAAAGTAGAAAGCGATAGAAAGTGAAAGACAGAATGCGATAGAGAGAGAGAGAGAGAGAGAGAGAGAGAAAGAGGGAGAGAGAAAGAGAAAGAGAGAGGAAATGACTTCCACATCGAAGAGTCTAGTTGTATATATTGATAGTAAAAAGTAAAGCATATATTCTGTTTAATATAGTAGAATATGATCTAGTTTTTAAAATAAAAATAAAATCTGATGAATATATGTTTGATGATTGAGTTGATCATTGTTATAAGAGATTTTCCTTCTAGAATTGTTTAGTTAATAGTTTTATAGAGAATTTTTCATTATTATTTCTATTGATAATTAATCGAAAAAAAGAATCAATCATTTAATATTATGTCGAGATAGAAATTTAATTCAATTATTTTTTCATTTTGAAATAAAATCGAAATTTGTATTAAGTTCTTTTTGATTTGCTTTTCTAGTTAATTTAATGTCAATTTTAGTTATTAAATAAAAAGAAAAAAGAAAAAATTCATTGATTCATCAATAACAATTTCAAGTTTAATATAATGATAGATATTTCGATGTTCTCAAGTATGAATTGACGATATACTCTATGATGGATCAGTCTGATATAATAATATTTTCGACTATTATTAAATCTATAATATCATAGTTTCAAGTATCATTAACAGTTTTTATTAATTGTTTAGATATTTAAATAATCTATCGTTTATTCGATAGTTTTAGATTTAAAGATTGAAATTGATTAGTTGAGAAAATTCTTCTGTTTAATATAATTGTAAAAAAATCTATTATTATCATAATGAAAGATAAAAATGATGTTGGATGTCAAAAATAATGTTTATTCTTATTTATTGAAAATAATCAAGATCTTCCATTAGTTAAGGCGTCAGAGCATAAATAAAATCATAAAATATAATTTCATCATTTCAATTATCAATAATAACTAATATTTATAATAGAAAGTTTATTATTATGTCAAATAATTTCTTATTACGGTTTTTAGATCGACAAGTTAGAAATCGACATTTTTCTTTTTTAATAATTACTTCGGAAAAGAATTCGAATAGGAGTTATTTCATATTTATATCAATAAATTGCCTCATTTTTTCTTTTTTTTTGTTTTATAATTGGAAATATATTTTTATTTTCTATGGTCATTAAATATGAAAATAAGTTGCTAATAGAAATAATTTTCTTTGATTTAATCTCAGTTATAATCATATTCAAATCCGTCAATTTCATCCTTCATATATCAATCTAATTAAATTTAACACTTGAAAATTATCATATCAATATTCATTTTAAGACTCAATTCATATTCGATCAATTTATTTATTGAAATTTCCTTTTTTTTTCTAACAAAATAGAATCTTCTTCTTCTTTTTTTTTGCGACGGAAATAATATAGATTTAATCGAATATCTATTATTAGAATATTCTATATTCTCTATTATCTTATCATTAGAGTAGAAAACAATGATACCAGATTAATCATTGATAAACATTTTATTTCAACTTTTAATCAACTTGATCAAAATTCAAATAATCGAAAATAAAAATTTATATTTCAAAAGTCGGAAACTATTTCGATAAAGATTCAATTATTGATAAAGTTCATCAAGAATTCTAAAGATTTGCCAATTTTCTTTCTCATATTTGAGAAGGTGATCATTTTAATTAATCTGATATTATATACGAATATATATTATCTATTCATTGTTTTTATCTTGATAGTTCATAGAAGAATATTCAATTTAAAACAAAAAAGAAGTTGAAAAACAAAAAAAGAAATGATTTCTTTATTCACATTGAAGATATAAAATAATTAAATATTAATTAATGATATGAACTCTAGAATAAATTTATTTATAGATAAATAATTCTTTTTCTTCTATTTCAATAAGATTTAATTCTTATTATTTATATTCTTTTATGATAAAATTTATATTTAATAAAACATTTTTCAACAAAAAGTCAATTTATTTTTCAAGAGCTCATATTATATTCAATTATAAAAAAAAGAATATCCTTTATCTATTATCAATTTACTCAAATGAATTATTTCGATATATTATTATCATTCACCTATCATTATCTTTAATTCATCTATCATTATCTTTAATAAAGAAAAAAAATATAATAGTGTGGAGTGCAAACAAAAAACACCCGACCTCTCGAGATAAAAATCTAACAAATTATTTATTTATAATTAGAAATTAACTAAACTAATTATAGTAAATCTATAATATAGACAATATATAGAAAACAATTTTATAAAATGTTTCAATTAAAAAATTTCAATAAAAGAATAATTGTTATTTTACACCTATTTGGAACTATTTATTTATCATATATTTGAATATTTTATTTAAAGAGAGGAGTTATCAGACCATTCATCAAGTATCTATAGAAATATTTTTTATTTTCAAATAAGTTATATCATTCGAAACCCCATGAAAAGTTATGATCAAACAAAAATTTTTAATTCTTTCTCAAAATCCTATGAAGAGATATGAAAGGACCTTTGAATCCACTCTCAGGTACTATTTGAGAAATTTTAGAAAATTTTTATCAATTTTAGAGAATTTTATTTAACACTTTATGACAACATATATCACCATTAAAGATCCCTCCTTTTTAGTATTAATTAACGTATCTTGATTAAATCTGTTAAATGCATCATCATAGAACAAGATTTTCAAATATAAATCGTGTCTAAAAAGTCTTTAATGTATTATTTTTAACTCAACAATTAAGAAAATTTGATCATTTTATAAAGAGGTTTTGTTATATATTTGTTCTGAAAATATACCAGAGCAATTCCCTCCAAGAGTCTTTTAGCATTAGGCGAAAGCGCGTCAAAAAGTGCATCTTTCTATATACAATACAACAAGATAAAATGTGGGGAGATTATTTAATTTTTAAGCGCAAAGAAAATCGCTACCATGCGAAATAGTTGAATATAGGTGGAAAATAATAACTATTGTTTCATTTAAATTTTTCAATTACAGAATTGTGTTAAATTATTTTGTATATATTGTCTATATTATAGATTCACTATAGTTACTATCAGGATATAATTTAGTTGATTTATAATTATAAATAAATATTTAGTTAGATTTTAATCTCGATGGATCGGATTTTGTTTTTGTAGTCCGTCCTAATATCATCATTAACTAATAGAGTTAACATAACATTTTATTTCTATAGTTATTTACTCCTCTAGAAAAATTTTCTTTGCGCAGACGACTTTTAAACTATAATATAAAATCTTAAATTCTATATTGAAAAAAAATATTTTCAAATAATTATCCTTTTTCTTCGATAGCTATTTACTTTTTATGATAAAATATATTCAAAAACTATTCTTTTAACTTTTAAAATAAATACTAAAATATTTTCAATTCAATTATATTATTCAAAATTGAAACTATCATTCTAAATCACTTTCTTTCCATATGTAGTATCATCAATATTCTATTAATACACATAAATCAAGTTCAATCAAGACAAAATTAGAAAATGTTCAAACGCAATAAATAACGGATGATCAATAATGAATGATCGTACATTTTTTGAAAGCAAAAAGTATAGAATTAAAATAAAGTTGACTATGAAAGTTGTAGAACATATTCTTGTATATTCGCTTTTTTAATAAAACGTATTTAGAGATTAATATATAAAATTCAAACTGCGACCATTCATTATTGATCAACCGTTAGCTAAAAGGTCGTCCTGCTTTCGGTTTTTTCCACAATTAAAAAGTGAAAAATGGGTCGATACTTCCTCTAACGGATGTCAGAATGCATCTTTCTTTTTGCTCACGAACACCAATCTCGGTTTCCTGCAGTTATCTTATTTACTAAAATTCTAATTATACTACCGTTGAAGATGTTTAAGTTTAATGGGTTCGATTGATGCGGCTCGGTGAATAGGACTAGTCTCAAAATAATGCCGGAACTAGTCATCGACAGAAAGCCTTTTTATTGAGCGATGCAATTGCACATGAGAATTGTTAATAAATAGTGTTTAACTTGAGCAAGAATATAATGTTGAGAATATTTAATTAGGTAGAATATAAGTAGACAT